AGTGTACCCTTTGAAAACACTGGGCAATAACCACGATAGATAATCAATTTTAATGTGTTTATTATTCTGCAGCAAGGGTAGACCGAGTTCAACGCTTTGTATCACTTCAACCTGACTCATACCGAATGGAATTCAGCGCCTCCCTGTTCAGCCGACGCAATCATTTCACCAATGTTCAAAAATAGCGTTTTGGCAGATAGCCCTCATGTTCGACTTCTTTTATGCACTTTCGTTCCTTAATATAATATGATTCACACATAAAGTGAATCCATAAGCCGAAACGAGATGCCGAATGTGTGAATCATGTGAATGCCAACATGGAATACTTTTACGTATAGACACAAAGAAGAATCACTGAAAACTGCATCTGAAGAAAACACAGGATTCTTTTGAGCAGTGTTGCCTTGTTGGTAGAATTGACGCCTTCAAGAAATTCTTGGAGGGAACAAGAAACATGCAAACTCTACTGGGTCATGACTTGAAACCGCGATTTCAACGAAATGCAAAACAATAAATTGTCTCTTTGCAATCTGTCTGCTCACTGAACCTCCTTTTGATAAATCTCGAAAGACTTAGTTCGAAAAATTAACCTGAAAAAGAGATCACAGCAAAAAATTTCATTGTTCAATATGTTTTTAAAGCCAAGTCTTCGAACTGTTGCTTGGTACTAATTTAATGGTTTTTTGTTGGTTTTCGAGGGCCATCTTAATTCGAGCTAGAACAGATTTGAAAAGAATATTCTAGGATGACATCAATCTTTGTTTTCTTTAAGGATTTCATCGTCATTCTGTCCAATTATTGCCAGCAAAGCACAATTTCCCATGGCCTTTCCATCTGGGTGGACGGAGATATCGCTTTGACAAGGGACACCGCTAACACATCAGTAACCCCTCCAATCACTTCTTTCTAAGCCAATCAAACCTGCCAATGAATTGTGTAGGCAGATATGCAATCAAAAGCTTCTGTAATACTAAAACGAAGCTGGAAGCGCATCGCTGTCCAAACGGATGCCAACCGACACTGACTGGGATTTGATTGATCCATTTGCAGTGCACCTCACTTACAGCTTCGATTTAGAGGAACACTTCCAGATCAAATTGGTGGGGTCACAGTGATCGCTAATGGAGCTGTGGAGCCGAGTTGACTGAAAATGAAAAAAGAAGCATGAAGAACCGTCAGTGAAGCCATTGACAAGTATCCCCTCTCTTCCTCCTTGAAATAACAAAGGAGCAAGGTCGGACGAGTTGTGCGAACTTGCCTGCTCCATGGCTCCACTAACCCGCGTGTATTTGAATTGGCCGCTACGTCGTAATCGATGCTGCGTATCAGGTTATATGCGCAGATATCTCGTCCATAAGCTAACATTGCCATAAGTTCACTTTGTAAAACACTAGCGCCATTGCCGCGGACTTCCGAAACGTGACAACGGCACATCTGTGATACTCGTGGGCTTCTATATTCCACCAACCGAATACATTTGTGGACACAATTTTTGCTGGGTTGGTGCTTTAAAGCTTCCAGGAGAATAACACTGCACACTTACTATTATATCGCACTGCGTTACTGTTTTCCATATCACCTACCGTAGTCTCTCTACACTTCTCTTCAGAACGTCTTTCGTCGTCTGCGCACACTTAGAAAAGCGAAACTCCAGAAAAGCACTGAAGACCTCACTTCATGGAGAAGCGCGGGATAGCGGGACAAGGGGGCGGGGCCAGAAGAGTCGACACAACGATGCAAATGACATGCGTGGCTAACAATAAGTGTGAACCGATGGGATGTACGAAAAAAAAGCAAGACCCAATGTAAAATTTTGATAAACAAGCGAAACACTTTTCTCTGGACAAAGGGGAGGCGGCGAGTTCCATGCACGGCACTACCCAACTCCAGTTGTGGTCTTCTCCAAAAACTAGTAAACATGCAAACCATCTCAAAACTACTTTTCCAGGGTTCGCTTGAAGGTACATTCCGCTACCTCTTAGGTCGCGCTCAACATGCCCAGAAATTTAGTAATAAGTGTGGTGTATCGTGTAACAGATATGAAAAGAATAAATGGGGCAGCTGGGATCCCCTTGATTCTCATTTCACGTTTATCATTTCAGCAGAGATTGTAGCTCTCTCATGGGTTAGAGCCAGAGTCAACCCTGCGTTGCGCAGTTCGCCGATTAGACACGTTCTCTCGCTCGAACATTCACACTCGCATGCTCGAGCCGTCTGTGTCTCCGCCCATACAGCGTGCGTTGAAGATCTCTCAACGTGCCGTTGCGAACTGCGCAACGTAGGGTTGACTCTGCTTAGAGCTTTCTCTTTCCATATCAATATGGGATCCGACGGCCGCAATCTCCGCCCACACGACGAGTATGGAATGATTCTAAGGGTCCTTAGTAGCTTCGGTTGTTTTCTTCCTTACTGGTCAACCATTTATGATAACCAAATTCATTTTCGAGCGCAATAGTACTGGGCAATCGCGGTAAGTTAAAATGTTCTGACACTGCATTCAATTGTCAACGTTCTGTTGCAATCTCATCTGTTTCGCGGATGATGTAACCGTTTCGACGGTGTAAACTTTGTTTTTTTGACGCGCCCGAAAAATTATTCGGAACGATTCTTCAGAAGACACGCACCTATCTAATAGGTCACGAACTCCTCTCAAAAACCGGACAAAAGATTGATTAACCAAGTCATTCGTAGACTATTAATCAAAACGGTCTCTAATGTGAAGTGACCGTACTTCTAATTGAGGTAATGAATTCTCTTGAAATACTGGGTCAGTTGCGGTCAGGTCAACCAAACAGACAGGTCAACCTAATTATGAAAGCTACTAATCAACTTCCACGGTTTGCCTCAAATTGATAAACTATCAAGATGCACGAAGAGAATAACTAATCCCATTGATCTGCCAAACCTTGATGGATGGAAAAAACAAAATTTCCTGGGGAATTACAAAATGGTTCAGATGTCGAGAAATGGGTACCAAAATGCTATAAGTGATCCCAAAATTTTCCACAATGAATCGTTTCTGACTTCAGAGCGCTCCTCAACTGCCATCTGTCAATAGCGATGACTTTGAGCACTATATTTCATGAAGCATATGTATTGAAACAATTCGCACTTTTTTCTCAACCATGTCTATCAGGTTCGTTTTCTGAACCAGAAACTGGTTTGCAAAATTGAACTCTACCCATGCTAATACATGTGCAATGAATACGAAGGTTTGCAGTCTAGAAATTCTGTTACTTTAATTATTATCAATTACTATTATCTCTGGTTTTCAGTATAACTTTATCGTTCTACTACCACTATATTAGACTATAACGTTGCTAACTTTTTCAAATAAGAATAAGTATAAGTATGAACATCTCAGGAACGCATTAAGTGAAATGATCCATTAGCACATTTGCCTCCACATTGCTTTCATGGTAATAGGTGTGTGGTACTACTACACTAGGAAGCACTCTGGTTACACACTTAAAGAGAAAAAGCCTTCATAGGGGGGGGGGGAAGTACACCGGCGGCGCGGACGCGAGCGCGTGTCGGTGACGTCAAAATGACGTCGCAGCAGCGGCAGATTGGAAAAAAATCTTAACACTATACCAATTTGTTCAGTCATTTGTCCCGCGAGCGAAATGATTGTGTTATGTTCAGGTAACATCATTGCTCTGAAAGTTGAAATTGTTCGAAAATGTAGAGGAATTTGAGGCTTTTATGTGGAGACCCTCAGGAGTACACTGTCAATAACTTCAATAAACTGAGTCTTCTTCAGGCCAATTCCCACTTACTTCTACTTTTCACACAGTGAAAGGGCACGACAGATGCTCGGACTACTTAATGTATTAGAGTAATTGTGGCAAAGCTGGCCCATGTTCGCTCCTCCGCCGCCGTTGTGACGTCACCAACACGCGAGCCCTTCCGCGACGTAGGTGAGGTTTTCCATGGAGCCCCTTCATCGAAAACTCCATTTAATCAGCTGATCCCGTTGTAGGTACCCGCATTTCGGAAAACGAGAAGAACGCCGAGTGTAGAGCACACACTACAACTGACGATGCTCAAGAAAAAAGTGGCTTTTTTTCTCGGCCGTCGTCACTTGTGGTGTGTGGTCTGCACTCGACGCTCCCCTCGTTTTCCGAAATAGAAGGTATGTGAAGAAGCACAGTAAAACTTAGGCGGAAAATAACGCGGGGTGCAATGGAGATGCAAAATCTGGCACAAGATTAGGTGCAATGTGTGCACACAGTAATAGCGCGCAATTAATCACGCGCAATAATGGATGTTCTACTGGTGTTATTTCGGGCGCAGCGCCCTAACATTACTGTTTACGGACCTGCTGAAGAATCAGTCTTGTACTTGCATCTTTCCAATGGACGCAGTAAACGCACTGATGACCTTATAAATAGAACCAGTCCTTCCTCAACAACAAACACAATCGCTGAGCAAAGACGTAATAAATAATTCCAACCGTTTCCCCTTTCAATAGTCACTTCAACTGCATCTGCGAGAATTCATTACCGGGAGCGTTTTAGCCGGTGATGGCGATTAACTAAACAGCCTTTCAATGACCAAATAGCTCAACCATCCACTCCATACACACATAAACAGCACAGCAATAGCTGCCCATTGGTCTATACAAATTTCTCACCAGGATATCTCTGGTCCTCAATAATAATAATGTGTTGAAGAGAATTACTATAGCTGAAGCGCATGCACAAACAAATGCCTCCCTGAATTGGCTGATTTGAAAGTCTTCTTTGTGGCAAGTGTTTACATCCATACTTTATCCCTTTTCCTCGAGAGTTTTCCCTCATAGAAAAGTGCATTATGGACAGCCTTTCAGGGCTGCCGAGCATTACTGCTGTCGATGTGTTCCACTGCTGAGAAACTTTTTAGTGCTTGGCCATGTTTGAGCACAGCAAATGAATTGCCAGAGAGCACTTGTTTAACCCGACTTGATAACACTCCAGTCGTTTTCCTCTATTCACTCGTTATTCGCCAAGGGCTATGCTCTAGCACTCACATTCATTGTCTGTTCGATCCTCATTTTCTGAGCGAAAACGCTGCCTTCGCTTCTTCTGCTTCACTTCTACCATGTATTGAGCAGGCATCTGGAACATATGCACAATCGCATTTTGAAATATATAGGTAATAAAATAGGCTTAAATTTGGCTTTGTTTGAGGAAAAAACACGAAACAACGCTATGAGTCAGTCTGTGTACAATGCCACCGCGTGCCATTGAACCTTTCTTATATAACCATTATCTGATACATTATCGTAGGCGAACAGCTGTGGTGATATATGCAGCGCGCTAAGCCAGACTTCCTGAACATTCGTCACAAAAATGAGCCAGGAAGTGAAGCAGAGATCCTCACAAACCAGCCAGAACTCGGATTGAGAAGTTCGCAATTCCTCCACGACCTACCATGACATTACGAGGTTTTTCAGCTGACATCTAGTCATGCTGAGCTGCCCATGAATTACAAGGACTTCACTGACCTCGACGGAGGTTTTTAACGGATGGGGGAACTCGAACAAGATATTGGCTGTTTCGGAGGTGGGCAGTCATTGTGCGGTCCCTCATGGACTATTGTTGGTAACGCCGAGGTTCGAAGGAGATAAGGATCTATTCGAGACACAATCCTCATATCGAGGGATATGCGCCTTACTGCTCCACAGGGGCGTGGTAAGGTCAGCTCATTCAGTTTATGTAAACCTTTATAAAAAATTTTACGCACCAGCTTCCTCTTCCTAGCCTTATAACTATATCAAACAATTCGGTGCACTACCCCTTGCGAAAAAAAGTGTTCCCATGGCTGGTCACTTGAAAGTCTCAATCGATTCAAATGGTACATTAAGTATGGAGATTTATGCCTGTAAGCACAAAGAATCACATTCACTCAGACGCGCCATCCCCATCCCAGCCCTACTTGATCTGACTCTTGGAACTTTTTTTCCCGAAAATTTCCACCTTGACCTTATCGTTAGTATCGGCGTGCCACCACATACATACATAACGCCATAGAAACGTTCATTGTGAACGTTTGTTGTATGACGACATTCAGAGTCAGCCGCACAAAAATCGATAGAGAAGCAAATAGGAGAGTTAGAAGGGAGCGGTTTCTTGCTCTAAAAAGTCTTAACCACATGCGACCAAGTTAATTCCATTCTTTACCGAGTTCATTTTAGTTCTGAGTCTCCCCAGTTTCTCCCAACAAAAGAAATCCTGCGCTACTGCTGATCGATTTCCTTTCCATTCCTCAGTATAAATGCATGATTATTACCCAATGCTATGCATTTCAACTCGAGCTATAGAACTCTTACAAGAATTAATTGATAGGGCGATTTCTTCGTGCGCAACGCTTCTCTCAAGTTGAAGATCTGTCCACGCATCACCGAAAGTTGACGTTCGAACATTTTCTTGTCAAAGCCTTTATCCTTCTGAAAATGCAAATTTGATTTGAACTCTGCTGGCGACTATCGGCGAAGAAAGCAGTAAACCTACACACCTTGAAGACCTGTTTCAATTCCTCGCCAAGTTCACGAACGAAGTTTGTATCGTCAAGCAGTGGCAGAATGGCGCTGATTGTCTCATCGCTAAATGGCTTCTGGGCCATAGGAAGTAATGCCCATCCGAAAGGATCTGCAACGTAAATATATATTGGCAGTGGCACATAAGATATCCTAAGAAAAACGTCTACGCCAACCGAAAACCAGTCTTCCTGCACTACATGTAAAAGCTATAAAAACTTTGATATAGACCCGTTGTTGTGTCGTCATCAGGACAATAAGCCCCCGGCCTCCCTCGCCGCGCCAACGCCGTCATCAGCTCGGTCGGTCCCCCCGAAAAGCGCGCATCTCAATATGCTACGCAGAAAATCTTCCTCTTCCAATGAACAACTAACTCGATGCCATCGTTACCATATTCATTCCATCTATTACTGCCTTCTGTATTACACTTTCACTATTTTCATGGCAATTTATCACAGCATTCGCCTTTGATTGACGCTGCCATTCCATAAAAATTTTTCATGTTCCACTTCAGTCGCCAACAAATGCCCGCTCCTCTAACTAAATGCAACACTTATATTCTACTGTGTAAATCGCTGTCAACCAAGGGAGCTCAATTGACTGCCGGACTCTCTCGCTCAACAACAAGCGGCGTTTTTTTTTTCGTTCCAGTCGCTTACGTCTCAAGTTACCTCGACATCTTCGCATCGTTGTTGACCGCCATTTATTTTCATAGTCTTTCTACTAAGTGCTACATATCTTCACTAACACTTCCTCCCTTTGAACCAGATGCATTCGCAGTAATGTCTAGTGTGATTGATGAACTAATTCCAGGAGCAGTAAAGAACCAGCACCAGTGTTCGTGCCCCGAACCTCACCCTATTGGCTGAGGAATTTCTATACAAAGCTGTCAACAAACGGTAACACCTTTAATCGTTTCTTTAGGGAAAAAATTATTGGAAAACAATAAATTTCCCCAGCTCTTCCTTCATTGTTTCTATCGACGCATTTGCCTGTCTGCCTTACTATTAGAAATTCGGCTCAGTTAGCGTGATTGCATACATCTAATGCACTAGAATATGTATGAAACAGCAGCGCAATCGATCCACGCTCTAGGAAACAAACAGCGCGACAAGATAAGGTCATCAACTCGTATATGGCGAGCTTCCCGGCATTCCACATGGCCTCGGAAACCCCCAGCCAGCTTGCTTCGCGATGGTCGTTCCCCAAACGCGATCCAGCTTAAAACTCGTAACTCACGGCGTTCCTCCAAGGAAATGAAACGCATTCGCAATTGCGCATTAGCCGGCGGCAAACGACAGGGGCAAATCGTGATCTTTGCCCTGTATGTCCGCCTCAGCGAGTTGTGACGGCAAGCAGTGGCGATGGCGGCGGCGCCGCATGAAATGAGACTGGTCTCATTTTGACTGAATTGCTGCCGATAGAAGGCGACCCTCGTTGGGTACAACTCAATTGTTGCAATGCAAGCTCGATCTATAGCATAGCGGCAACCCCGTGAAATTTGGTGCTGATGATGATTGTGGTGATGGTGCACGAAGGTCCCGGCCTTCGTTGTTGTCATTGTTGTTAATCCTTCGTCCGTCAATCTATCAAATTGTGTTTATACGAGGGAAGTGGGGATGCTAAGGGCAGAGCGATCGGATGTTGCCGCCTGCACAAAAACATTCGCCATTTCGCCGACCGTAACTCGAAAAACATCCATATATATAACAGCCACTGTACTTACACTAGTACTAAATGACAGTATCGTTAGCGCTGCATATCGGATTTTGAACACACATTGGAAAACATGCCATTTTCCTCACCATATTGGCTACCATTTCCCTCATCGCTCGCGCTCGCGAACACATACAATCGCTTATGTATGCAAATTTAGCGCCAGCTAACACGGCGAGGAAAAAACAGCCGAGGGAAGGGACGGAGGTGGTTGTTTACGATGAAACGCTTTTTTTTGAAGAACGGCTACTGAAACCACACAAGCATACGACGTGTGCAGTGTGGAAAGACGCGGCACAAAGGCTCTAGGCGATTGCTCCGAAAAAACAACACAAGGCCAACGTCTCAACTGGGACATCGGGTGGTCCTCCATGAAATTCGATAGCATCCAAGATAAACAGATGGACAGGCAGCTTTGCCTTCGTCTCAAATATATCCCACGAAAAATAGCAAGTATCAAACAGTGCGTCCTAAGCGATTCTAGCACCATTGCAGTTGTTCGCATCTTTTGGTATTATCGAGGCAGGTATTAGTGCCAAAAGGTCAATAGGCCAGTTTTTAGAACCAGAGTTCACTTCAGAACGCTTTTTGCCAGTAATATCGCATTCTTTCGCCCGTTTCTTGGATAAACAATCGTTCTCGATCTTCGCAGCTAGTGATGATAGTCTGCGAGCGATACCAGTAACTCGAAAAAACTCACACGCTCTCCACTCATCTGGATGTTTGAACGGGAACGCTAGCCCGTTATCAATTGCAGCGATTGACACCTTCGGTACCGTCACATCGGCCCATTCCACTTCGGCTGGCGCCGGTTCAGCTGAAGATCGCGTTTGTTGTTCGTCGACGAGTTCTAAACACTTTGAATGTCATGAAATCCCCACTTCTCTTTCTGGTTTTCGATCTGAGAAACTATGCGTGTTGGGGGACGCGCTATACGTGGAGGGCAAAGACTTTGTTTTATATGAAAGATCGATTTAAGGAAGGCGACAAACACGGGCATTTATCAATAGCTGCGAGTTTCCATTGCAAAAGTGCAAAACAAGTGCGGCTTTTCACATCGATAGATGAAGCCTCCATGAATGGAAGCGCACCTCACACTCAGGTGGGGGCAAGAGTCGCCAAACCTCGAAACACACCGCTCCCCACCTCATACTTACGATCTAAACGGGTATACCACAGCTGTATCTAACCCTTGTCGCGGCACTGTTTACAATTCAGTAATCTACTCGATTATTCACTGCATAACACATGGGACAGATAAAATAAAAAAGTGCGTGGTATAAAGAGGTGTGGTCTACAGCCGTCACTTTTGTGCCCACTCATTCAAACGATTCGCGAACTGGCACTGTTGCTGCTCTGCTGACATGTCGTCGTACGCGCCCGAAGACACCCCCTCCGCCGTCGTCGACGTCGACAAAACACGATCGACGACGTCCACGTCGTATTCACAGCAGTCCTCTACCATTGCTACTCGCCATCAAACCACAGTGTCTATTGAACATCACGAATTGGATTACTCACCTTCAGGTCCACACGCTCGATCCTTTCCATCTGCTAAATCGATCAATTGGCCTTCATCAGGTACTGCCTGCAAAATTGTACGGTTTTTGTACTTAACCTCTCACATCTAGTTGTTACGGTTAGTAAGCGTTGTCAAATCTTGAACTACAACATCATCAGATCGTAACGATAAGTGAACACCATTAATGCGGCACATAAATCACCTGGGTTTCCACACTGGTTGGGTTCGGATCATTCGGAACGACCGGAGTTTCGACAACGTCCGCCTGTTCGTACTTGATCAACCAGTTATCGTTTCCACGATCTGAAAGTTTTTTTTTCACTAGTGGTTGAAAGCGGTACCGTGAACATGGCCACATAGTTTTTAACCAATCAATACCTGTATTTCTGATAACATAGTCGAGTACGACAATTTTCTCGAACAGCAATTGGAATTCTCGTTGAGTGACGGGTGGTGGTGCTTGTTCGGGGCAATTGTCCCATATACGAAGCCAATGGGCCGCATCTTGATAGCCAGTGACGAACAATTGGAAGCTGCCCTTCTGTAAATGTCATAACATTCGTTCGAACATGTCTTTGTGTGTATTTTCGGGGCACCCAAGTAATCTGATCGGTGCGAACGCTCTACGGACTGCTGCTTGTCTACAACATCCTTGTCGCCAATGCCATCCGCAGTTCATCGCCACTAAGCGTTTCGCATTCATATTTTCCCAAAGCTGAGACAGATGGTGAGGATATAAGTCAGGGAAAATTTTTCGGGTCCATCTGGATGCTGTAATACGCCACATTCTAAACGCGAACATATTAAATTTTTCAACGAGATGACAGGACGCGCTGAGTCATAATGTGCGGGGCTATATTGACTGGTTAAAATTGCTCCACACTCTCATGCAGACAGCCACGACCAGATCGCCTCACAATGAACGATTCACCCCTCACCGCACACCACAGTAGGTTGCCGACGACTGCAACAACATCCCCAAGTCGTAAATAGGTGTACACTAAGTTCTCTTGATGGCACCGAAATTCACCATCAACACGACGTCGAGGAAGTTCTTTTGCGGCGCATTTCATGAACACAGCCGTCTGTTGACGTCTGCCAGACACTCAACATCACAAATCACCACCGCATCTGTGATGATCCCCTCTTCTATCACAATTGCCCTTCTTTTCAACCTTAGACGATCATCCATTACCAGTCACCGTTCGGTACTTAGTATTGTATCTGTTTTCGCCGTTGGTGCTCGCAACAAAACATGTAACGCCTCCTACCCCTCCCCCTTCCCCTTCCCCCCTGCCCCTTCATCTAGAACTCGACCTGCTCGTCAACACGTCTCGCAATCCTTTTCCTCTAAATTTTGCCTTTATATTTCGAACGCTAACATTTGTACTGAAGAACAAAAACTGATACTGCCGCTAATACCTAGTGTTGGTGTTCGATTGGCTTACAAAACCGTTCAAAAACCGCATTACTGCGGGCATTTGGGTAGCTGCGAACGAAATAATCCCTGAACGAGAACACATGACGGCCTGCACCGTTCGTTTAGCGATTTCCCCTGAACGCTAATCGGCAACACTATGTATAGTGTACGTGCGTGCTGTCATGTGTCCAGAATATTCTATCGATTTCGCTTGTACAGCTGATGAGAACAATTTGTACAGCTGACCTTTGGAGGAAGACCAATTCGATGAAAGCGTCGACCGAGATCGGGATATCTCGACTGAATACGTTCCTTGGCTCTGGCTTTCGCTCGATCCACTCGGCCATAGTAAAACGTCGGTGCTGCTAATTCCACTAACGCCGTCGTGGGTACGATGTTCAGCCCGAGCTTTTTGTCAACCAGTGACGCACCTGCTTCTGACAGATAACCCTGCAATACAAACAGTATTCCGGTCAGTGAGCAAATTCCACACGTAACACTATGACAGTTTCTTTTTTTGTTTCTTTTCTTATTCTAGGAATGTGAGGTTGATTCATTTTCGTGGTGACATCCGTGAGTGGCAGCCTTCGGTGATTGTCGTTGTGTCGGCTAAAAGGATGATTATGGCAAAGTCGCGATAATAGAAACGATCATACAATGACAATGACGAAAACAGCTGAAGAGGAACACATAAAAGGGGACGCGGCAAAAATTTCGTCGGCAGCAACGGCGCCGCCCGCCGTTGAGTCAAAACAGATCCGCCCACCGCAGTTCCATCGCATCGCGGCGAGGCGCAGACCCATTTTGCATGTCGACTTTCACGGTAAATCGATATGCAGTAAACAAGGGCGGTCCTCAAATGCAAGCTCTCACTTACTTGTGAAGCATATTCCCACAAAGCTCGTGTGGACCAGCACCAGACTCTTCCGCTGTCGCGCACTCACTTCTTTGCCTGTTCATATCCACCTTTTCGCTATTTCATTCTCTTCGCGACCGCTGACGCCACCATCACCACACCGCCATCGGCACCGGCGCTTTCACCGCACGAAACCCGATCCAGAACCACACGTTTAATCGTTAGAGAATGTATCCATTATATGCATGCATGAGCGTGATTCTCCTGTAATTATTCGTGCAACCTCGCGAAAACCGGTAATGCCTTCGCTGTCTCGCAACAATACCGTCAAACTGCACCGTACGCTCCTCGCGGGTCCTCATCAAACAACCATATTCTCATGCATGCACCTCAACACCCTCTTCATGTACTCCGAGCGTTGCGACTACAATCACCATCGCTCGCTCCCTTGTAGCCGTGTCAGATGAAAAAACCGCTCGCTCACTACAAGGCTCGCCCCCGGGACAACTGGCTATTTTCAGTAATTTTACACATGTTTCTCATCGGCTATCAAAAACTCTTTATAAGAAAAACCTCTTCTCTTACACTCAAGCTCCTCTCTCCCTCTCCATCGCTATAGCATCGTACTAGTAATCCGCTTTGATCAAAAAACTCATTTCCGTTCTCTATTATTTGCATATTTCATGGGAGCTAGATGTTTTTCCCTAACCAACTTGTTTATTGCCTTTGCACCATAATAGCACTTCAACGAGGTGTTTCCCAGCTCGGAAATTCTAGCACTCAGCCACGGCCAACCGCCGCGGACCACCCACTACGACGCCTCGCGACTACCATCATCTCTGTCGCTGTTTATGGGAGCTGTGCTTCGAAAAATGCATGAGAATTCAATTAATTGCTAATATCAGCTAGTATCGCGCTCATGGCACGATAACAATCTGCTTCGGGGCTACTGCTGTTCATTTGCATAAAGTAGACACACCCATCTGGATATTAATCGTTGCCAATAAAGTCGTGTGGTGAAAGCTGACAGGTCCTCCATTCTTGCTCTTCCAGGGAATGCTGGGCTCTCTAGACGTCATTAAGAAAAAACCTTAAAAAGCTACACAGCCATATCACTACATGCGTCCGTTAAGCCAAGCTCTCGTCTGGAAGTCGTGGGAGCCAGCCATTAGGCAGATCTCGGCAAAACCCATTCCAACTCATCATTCACTGCCCTTGCTATTCTCGGCTCAAATGAGTCGCTGCAACGGCATCGTCCACTCCAGAGCTGCCTTTTCTACCCTCTCTTCTCAGCTCTTCTGGAAATGTCTAATTGAATCTGTTCTCTACTCATATACTGTCAAGTGTTTTGTTGACGGAAGCTACGATTCCAAAATGCATTTTCAAGACTGTCACTGTTGAACAATAAACAAAGTCGTAAATTCTACACTTGTTTATCACTTTGGCCACCCAGAAGTAGCATCCATCAAAAAACCAATGCCGTGAGAGTGCTAATGGGGGAAGAGGAGAGCGGGTGGAGGGGGTGAGTCGCATAAAAACATCAAAACTTGAGAGCGGAGTTGCACACGCCCCATCAAAGTTCCGCCGGCGAAGAACAATACGTGTCCACTGCGGCGCTCAGTTGCGGCGCTAAAGAGTGCGCGACAAATCTGCTAACATTATTAACTAGTATCATGACACCGAGTGACAATCGGTCATCATTAAGGGATCAGCGAAGACGCGTCCGTGAATCGATGTCCTCTGGGAGGGACAGCGGGCCCACCCCTTGTCAACCACCAGCCGACTTTGGTGCAATGTCCCGTCGACGCATTGCAAATTTGCAGCCACTTTTGCATGAATCCGCGAAATTCGTTTCACTGTTGTCTTGTTTACTTCCATTCTGTAATTGCCTTCCATAGACCTTCACATCGCAATCCCTTCGCGATCGCAACAACAATAGGACAAGAAACAGAAGGCGATGTTTGCTTTTCAATAGGCGGATCAGACTTTGCGCTCACAACATGTTTGCGGCGGTATCGAAATCGAAAACATGTACTACCATTACTGCTATAGTCAGAAATGCAGAGGTTGAGCGAGTGAGTGAGTGAAAAAAGTGCCGAAATGAATGGCGAATGAAGAGCGAACGGGAGCGGGAGGGATTGCTTGGGCTAGCTCTGATCTCATACCGACCGCAGACGAGTTGCTTAGTAACCATTCGTGTCCGCACACACTAATCAACCGCTTACTACTAGTAAATATACCGTGATACGTCTTGCTCTCGCTCTCATTCGTACTCGTTGTATAAACCGTTGCAGCGATCCTTAATTATATCCTTGAATGAATGATTTTCGCTTCTTTGTCCTCATTTCGCTATTCACTGTCCTTCTTTCGCTTCAGATTAGTCAGCTCGTGTATTGACTGCTTTATGTGTCGACTATCTGCGCTTAGAAACCTTATACCTTGGTTTCGCACGTTTCTTTATCTTGTGCCGACTTCCTCCACTGGCATTACACCATAGCAATGTTGTAGCTACAGACTTCAACGCCTCAAACTATCTTCACCTTATCTTCTCGGTAGCCGATGAGAACTTCATTCCACCCAGCAGCGTAACACTGAATGGGCCACTGAGCACGTATTGAAAACGCAAGGTTGTCGCTGTTTTCTTCTTGACCATTGTGGCCATTCACTGAATCACGCCCTGCTGAGCGCTAGCTAGTCGTCAGGTCTCCGCCTGACAGCATATCCACGTCCAGCCGCCATCCATATATAGACAGCTTGACGTTAACCATTACTCACTTCTTATTCATACATAAAGCTAAAGAGCTGATCATCTCACTACTTACACTCGCACGCTCATCGACGAGTAGGACAAGAGTCTCTATTGTGACGGCGTTTCTTACAGCATGCTGATGTGCTCGTTGGATGATCTTCAGTTGCGGCATTAGCGGCAGTTCACCAGGACGAAAGCTAATTGTGTCTGATAATCTGCCATCGGAGGACTTCGCAAATCGCAGTCTATCATCGCAAACCTACCGATCATCATCAGCCGCCTCAACTAGTTCGCCTTCGCCGAGCCGTTCCGATTCACCGGCTGTACGTGTCGAGGACATCACTACTGGGAAGTGGACTCGTATATCAAGTCGAGTTTCTGTTCGTCCCCTAACACCGTCCGAAGCCGAATCCGTCTTCGAACGACAACGAAGGCGAAAACGAGAATCTCGAAAAGGTGATCCATAATATGCATGGAAGTGTTGTGAGACTGCATTAAAAAACTATGTTAAAACCACGCACGCTTATTTCACTTCTACACAAATTGCGTTACATCCGCATGCTCTGTGAATACATGTCAGCGTTTTGTTAGACAATCATTTGGCGATACTCCTCAATAAGATTGTCGTGTGCACACCATATCTTGAACGAGAGCTTCCTCACATATGATTCATGTGTCAATTACAGGACGATCGAGGATGGAGGACCACGACGAGACAAGAAGCAGTATTGACGGCGGGGGAACCATAAACATTCCTACAAGCGATAGCGCTAAAGAGTTAATTCCCGAAAGTCCGGGCTCCCGTTCGAATTATGGCGAATTCTACTGGTGAGTTACGTCTGCATGCATACACATTGCCTCACCGCCTCAGTACCTTGCTCTCTTTCTCAACCTCAACCAACAAGAACTGTATCAACTGGTGCGTCCGTCTTCCATCTACTCATATACGCTTTCATTTTAATACGACTATATATTTGTTCGACATTTGCCTCATTTTGAGTTCTACAATCTGCTGTGCTATGCTGCCGCGACAGATGTGCATGGCCGCTTACCACTTTTCAATGCCGCTCCGGTCCCGTCTGCAGAAGGCATGAATCGATGTCGCTGTGCTGCCGTATACGCCCCGAGATGTGTTTTCGAGTGAGAATAGTGGGGGGATGGAGAGCAAAGAGAGCAGCACGGCCGGACCGCCAACGAGGCTGCACAGGCCCGCCGTACGGCGGAGTTTTGTTGTCGATCAAAACAATCCAATTTGGCCACTGTTTATGCCTTCAAGTCCTCTACGCGGCCACTGAAAAACAGCCTCTGACAGAACCACGACGCCGACAAAAACACAATAACAAAATACACGCTCGCTGATGTGCGTGAACTTTTTCACATCGCTACACACAGCTCTCACAAACTCACACACATTCACCTATACACGTAGACAGACAGATACAGTATATTTGCCCTCGTAGAAGTAAGCAGTCGGCTGGATGGGAAGGGTTAGTTCGGAAGGACTGCTGTTGATGGTGTGGCTTGTGGCATGCATGCATTTATCGGCACGACGGCGCTTATTTGGCATAGATTCACTTTTAAAAAGTGAACCTGAGCCGGTGAGCGCCTTCAGTGTCGCTTAATGAACAGTTATATGCGCGCTATTTGAAGGGATGAGTTCTCCAGGGACACATCGGGCGAGAACAACTATCACAACACGTCGTCATTCGAAGACGACCTCCTTGATTTCGAGCGTGGTGCTGCTGTAACTCGCCTCGATCGCACCCAGGATGACCTCAACAAGTTCCGTCAGCGCATCGACAACAACGTTGAACAGCAGAAAGAATACAGTGAGATGATGGCGGCTCTGCAGAACAAGGTGCTCAATCATGAACATTTTAAAAATGGAAAAATTCAGTAGTGGATCTATTTCAGGTGCACGAATACAGAAAACACATCGCTGAATTGGAGGGTAAGATGGTGAGTGCGCGACGACGACAAGCTGACGACGGTGGTTTCACAATCCTCGACTCCAACGTGTTTCAGGACACCAGTAACAGCTTGTGAGTGAAAATGTCACAGTGCAAAATGTATTGTACGTTTTCGAACAATACATGGCTGCTGGATAAACGTCTGCTATTTGTTATTTTATAGCCGTGACATCGAGATGTGGAGTCCCGCTCGTACACGCGGTGCTGCTACCAACATCGTAGTGGCTGGAGATCCTAATGCGAACTACGAGATGATTGCCAGACTGGACGAGGAACGCAGACGGTGAGAGTGCGCCCAGTAGAAGGCATTTGACGACGACATAATTTCTGGATGAACAACGCATGTGTTTCAGCGCTGATGAGTACCGTATGCAATGGGAGAACGAGAGAACTGCTAAGGAGCGTCTGGAGGACGAGAATGAGAGACTTCGTCGCGAATTTGACCGCTACGATCGCGAGTATCGCGACAAAGAGAGAACATTTGTGAACAGAGAACGAGTAGGTTTTTACGAGGGTTTTTTTACGAGTAGGTTTCTACGAGTCGATAAAATTTCTAGTAATCGTCGTTGTTTTAGAACCTTGCCCAGTATCTCAGCGATGAACAGAAGAAGATGATGGACATGTGGACTGAGCTTCAGAGAGTTCGCAAACAGTTCGCTGAGCTCAAGGATCAGACCGAACGTGATCTGGATACGCAACGTAACGAATTCAATCGCGTGCTAAGGAACGTGTCCAACATCACGCGTACGATTTCCGTTGGAGGAGGAGCAGGAGGGGTAGATGTAAGGCGAATTGATTCGAAAATAACTTCAAAAATCAATTTTTTTCCTAAATTTCAGCAAGCTGGTGGAGTCAGTGGTCCGTCGTTGGCGAACCTTTTGACCGATCTATTGAGTACACGTGATACCCACCACGCAACCACTTACGATACTACTATTATCGAAGCTGTCAAGAGGTACCGTGACAGAGCAGCTGCCGGTGATGGTGGTGGAGATCGTGCGCTTCTGGAAGAACTGAAAGCCATCCGCGGCACTGGAGGAAGTGAAGGCGATGCAGAGTTGCAGAAGGAACTTATGCTGAAGTGAGTGAATCTGCCGATAACAGCGTTAATGGGCTTTTCTCCTTTTTCGCAGAACATATTTCCTATCCTATCCATCATGATCACACTGCGATCACTTTAGGTATGAGGAATCCATTGAGCGTAACATCGAGCTCGAATCGAAGGGTGATGAAAGCCAGAGGAAGATCGCCGATTTGGAAGCTGAACTGCGACGCACCAAAGATAAACTGAACGACAGCACCAATGCGTTGCGAAAAATGCACGAAATCAGCCAAGATCATGAGCGCTTGACCGACGGGAGCCAGAAGCGAACGCGTTCTTTGTCACCAGGTTAGTTATTCTGTAAACCAGTTTAAATCTCTCGTCCAAAACTACGCGCTCATACGCCAAAGCTTTTCAAGTCATGACACGTTTTCCATGTCAAAGTAGGCAGCGAAAAAGGGACATTCGACGGGGACCTCTACAAAACATTCCTCCATCCTATTGATTGCAAAAGGAGGGAGTGAGCGAAGCGAACGAGCACAACAACACACTCTTCTTAGGAAAATCGCCGTTGCCACCATCAGAAGCACTTCGATCGGTGAGAAACGCGCTACGCAACAGGGACAATGACATCCAGCAGCTGGAGAGAAAGCTTAAGATCTCTGAGAGTCAGGTGAGCAGTTGAAATAAACAAAACAGAAAAGCATGTTGAACTCTGGGGAACCTTTTTTTGGGGGGTGGACTTTAGCTTCGAGCAGATAACACAATTGAACTAGGCTTGCACGGAAGGAGACGAAACAAAATGCAAGCTAATTTTAGCGCTAGACCATCTGGAAAAATAACCGATGGCGAAGTAATAAAAAACTATTATTGATTGTCGCCCATCAACTACAACCATTCAGAAAGTCGTTAACCATTAACTACACCATTTAGAGAATTCCATTTCAATTACCATCGTTTCAATATCATGTACTTGAGAGTGATATATTGTAGGTGAAAGAGTTCATGAATAAGTTCGAAACCGCTGACGAGACTCGCCGACGACTCGATAAACAACTTGCTGATGCTAAGAGAGAAATCAGTAATCAGTAAGTTTTGGTTGTCGTACTGTACACAGTTCAACTAGCAACCCACCTTTAGGCAAAAGCAGATCGATGAGCTGGAGAGAAATCTTCGTCGCGCCGAGGACAAGTTGCGTGCTTCTGAATCTGAACGCCAGGCAGCGGACAAAGCGAGAAAGTTCCTCGAAGAGGAGCTAGCACGTCTACAAGCGTAAGTTGACATAAATTACCTTATTACTCAAATAACCATAATAATTACTGTTTCACCGCTTTTAGTTCCTATCAGAAGTCCACCACCGACGATGTGCGGAAGATTCGCGACGAGTTGGATGAGCAGAACATCAGCATTGTTGAGGATCATAAGAACAGGTGGGTAACATTGACAATTTCTTGGAGCAGCATTGTCTCTCTGGATTCGTGTGGCACTCGAATTCCATTCCATTTCTTCAGAATCAACGAGCTCAACAGACGCGTTGAGAATCTGCTTCGCGAGAACAACAAGCTCAAGACGGAAATGGCTCCGCTGAAGGATAAGTTCCGTGATATGGAGACCGAGTACAACAATACGTTGCGTAGGCTCGATGAAAAGGTTTGTTCTTAGATATCGCAACCTAGGCGAGCTTTTGAACTCGCGTGAAATCAATACTGCGCCAAGACTAGAAAACAGCTTGAAGTTAGCGCTGTGAATGTAGTGCAGTGCACATTACTATCACAAGCGTTCAACAACGCTATGCTGGCAGCTTAAAAACTACCCGAAGCTTCATGGCGACACAGCTCATGAGATTTATTTTCAGGACTCTCAGATCAAGTACATCGAAGAGATCCGTCGCAACATCCAACGAGATCTCGACGATCAACGTAACCGTAACGATTTGTTGGCAACGGACCATGATAAACTGACAAATGATCTCGAAAATGCACTGAAGACTGCCCATTTGGCCGAACAGCAATTGAAGGAACTCAAAGGACAACGTGATGATTACCAGTAAGTAATAATCTCATATTGAATGTTGCTTGCAAACTTCATCTGCAAACCATGCTTTGCAGGAAGCAAAAAGATGAGCTGTCGCGTCAGCTGTTTGACATACGCCATAAGTTCGAGACCGAGCGAAAAACTACACAAGACTTGACTAGAAATGAGGGCCGATTCAATGACGAAATCGAGAAGCTAAAGCAAACCATCGACGATTATGAGAGACAGGTAAGAACCATCAATCAGATGCTCATAATTAACCTTGCTAACATTCCCATTTGAAGGTCATGCTCCTAAGACGCCATAATGACGAGTTCGACACCACAATCAAGAATTTGCAAGGCAAGATCACACAACTTGAAAACGAGGTCCGATCCAGAACTAGTGAAGTTGAAAAACTCAACGACCTTAACCAAAAGCTGCAGAAGGAGAAGCAGGAGATCATGAAGTACGTTCAATGTTGTCACTCCGAGATATGCAACGGTTTCTTGAAACGACTGGCGGCGGGTTAAATATTAAACCACTGAGACCCAAAGGTGGCTTTGATTCCTATTCGTTTGCGCTTAGCTTACTCATAAGTGGTCAGACTGAACCGATAGAGTTGCTGAGTTGAAAACGTAACCTCACTGAGGGCTAATGTAAGTCACGGTCTGGACATATCACGCGGCCGCATTGCATGTTTCCTTGCAATCGTCTGAGCTTTTGTCTTTACCTCGATTGGGCGCAATAATTGTGATTGATGCCGCGAACTATGGACCAACCACAGATGTTGCACACATGAACTTCCAGTCTAAGGTCCAAAAAAAGATGTTCAGAAACGAACGATGTACCGATACATTGTAACTCAATATCATGTTTCAGTCAAAAGAACAAGGCCGACACCGACATTCAGACTCTTAAAGAGACGATTCGCAAGTTGGAGCAGGAACTTGAAAAACTTCGCAATGAGAACAAAGCCCTTGAGGTGAAGGAAGAACGCGCCCGTGACGCACACAATCAGCAACTCAACAGAGCCAACCTTTTGGCGAAAGAGCTTGAGGACTCTAAGCATGAAATTCATGAGCTGAACGGTAAGTCACTTCAAAACAAATGCAAAATCGCAAAAGGTTTAGTGCAGGCTGAAAATTAAGATGATTTTTTTTAGATAAGATCAGGCGTCTGGAGGAAGAAATTCGCGATCTTCGCGACAGGATCAAGGGAGTCAAGGTAAAATCGCTGACTATGGTAACGCTTAAATGTGGCAATAAAACAAATTTGGGCTAGGAAATAGAAAATAAAACTCAGGATACTACAAAGCCAAGAGGCCCGTACAAACCGACTCGTGCCGGAGATTCGGTCGAAGGTGATGAAATTACAATTCCCGGTTAGTGCATGCAATAGTTACTTAATTCAGTGTTTTATTCTTACTTTCAGAATAGTCTAGTTATTCAGTTTAGTCTGATTAGAGAAGCATGAAACCTTCTAGCTATCTAGACACTTATTTGTGAGTAGACCAACTTTTAACAGTTTCTGAATCTACCACCTAGTCGATTAACAACACAGCGTTAACTTTATTTGAGTTCCTTATCATACAGCAAAGTTTTTGCCAAAAGTACTGCTTTATTAGGCGGAACAGATACTGATCGTACTACTACTATTGATCGTACTACAATTATCGATCGGTACCACGACGATCTACTCTCCGACTTGCGCATCAAAGAGATCAATGACAAGTGGAAGATGCAGCTGGAGAAACTCGAAAACGAAAAGGTAATGGCGCTATGGTATTTGACGAAGAGATTAGTTGTTCAACAGAACTTATGCGAATGGAACTTATATAAAGGACGATCTCGAACGTCGCATCCGTGAGTTGGAGGACGAGCTGGCTCAGATCGGACGCGGCAACGAACGTCAGGAGAACGATGTGTCCGAATTGAAGCGTAAGCATGCCGTTGAAATCGACAAACTCCGTTCGGAGATCAGCTCACTTCACGATAAGCATCTCAGTGATCTTGATGATGAAAAGGAACAGTACGCAAAGGTATCATCATTGTTCAACCATGAAATTTGGCAGAAAATAGCGAGGATCTTTAGGCCGTTGAGAACCTCAAAGTTGTGGAAGAAGACCTTCGTGAAAAAGTGCGAAACCTGGAGAAACAACTTGCCGACGCCCTCAATAGGTGAATTTTCATTACAAGAAGAACTTCACACTAATTTAATTTAGCGCAGTTAATTTTCAAATCTGAGGTGCCTTCTGGATCGATGTTCGAACGCAAAGATTTTAGATTGTCGTTGTGCTCTTATTCCAACTTTCTCATGCAGGCTAATAACGGAAATTCAATGGCTTTCAGAGAAAACGATCTTGAGCGTGAACTGCGAGACAGCGAAACCAAAATTTCTACCCTAGTCACTCAGAATCAAAAGATGCGAGATGACATGGAGGATCTGCGTAATGAAATGGACAAGGCAAGCACTACTTTTTTGCACTTTCGGACCAGCAGAACCTCAGAGCTGCTAATTTAGGAAGTTCAAAAATGGAAGACCGATGCTTACCAAGTCCGCTCAGAAGCCAAAGCTCTAGAGACCACCAACACCGGTCTCAAAGCACAGCTTCAAGCAGCCAATGACCGCATTGAACATCTCAATAAGACGGTCAATGACAGCACTAATAAGATTCGCGATCGTGAGTTAATTTACAACAAAAGCTGCAGAACATATTCCTAAAATATTATTTCAGTGACATCACAAGTTCGACGCCTTGAAGAGGAACTCACTGATACCAAGTCGACTCTAGCGCAAAAGGAGTCCGACCTCGAAACCACCACTAATCGGTAGCTCTTATGGCCAGAATTGCTATTCGGAGGATGCATTTTCAGAAAGCAATCCAATTACTTTACAGCCTTCGCTCAATTGAAGAGCAGTATGCACAACTTCAAATTGACGCCAGTAAATGGAGAAGTGAGCTAGACACCGTTCAACGTGAAAACGATGTACTAAGGAGCGCAAACTCCAACATGGAGTCTGAACTTGCTCGTCTAAAGAACCGTCTCAAGGTTGCTGAAGACACACTCAAAGAGCTAAAGAACAGTCTGAACCACGTCAAGGCTGAGGTATTTTTTAAAGGATCCCACATTAATTCTTTTCATAGTAATATTATTTTTTCAGCGTGAACGCCTTCAAAATGCTTACCGTGACAAGGCAAAGCAAGCGGATCACCTCCAGCAACTTTCGCAGCAGTTCGATTCTAAACTACAGAAATTGCGTCAGGAACTACAAACCACATCTGATAAGGTTAGCCACAAGCTCCAGCTCAGCTGAAACTTCTTCACGACACAACTGCTCGTCCGAAAACAGTTAATTTGAATATTACTTGTTTTTCCAGCTGATCACTTCCGACACAGAGCGTACCGCTCTACGTAATGAGCTCACCAAGCTTCAACAAGAGCTGAAATTCGGAGCTGAGCAAATGCAGCGAAAGACTGATGAGTACCAGTCAACGCTCGATGACCTAGCAAATGCACACAGAGTTTCTGAAGATGGCCGACTGAACGCTCTCCAAGAGCTCGGTATGTCAGTTCGCTATGCAGAAATAATCATACCAATTGGGGAATTAGAGAACTTTTTCTCCAGAAAGTCGCAAATACGAAATCAGCGACCTGCAGTCACGATTAGAAGGAACGGAACAGCGTCTAATCACTCTACAACAAGATTTTATCAATGCAGACGCTGAACGAGACGCACTTGCTGACGCTATGCGTCGATTCCAGGTAAACCGCGGCCCTCTTGGAAATGCCCTTGATCAATTTTTTTACAGATCTACCCTATAGCGTTACCGTAAAATATTATATTTAGAACTCTGCCAACCGTGTGATCAACATCAGTCGTTACACAAATGTAATTGATGGAGGAGATGCTCACGTTGATGGAGGACGAGATGTTGAGATTCCACGAGGTTCTGGAGCCCCACTGGATGACGTCCAGTATCCACGATCTGTACCGTTCCCAGTCGGCATCGACTACACTGGTACACACACAGGCGGTTTGTTGTTGTTTAAAATCTGATGCAATCTTCAATACGCTTTCATTTTGCATCGAAATTCTATTTTCAGCAGGCGGTCGCGTAGCCACAACGCTGAATGGCACGACTACAGTTAACATCAACGACACCGTCAACGTTACTCAGCTCGAAGACACACTTCAGCAGCTCGTTGGAAGAATAGACAAGCTAGAGTTGGAACGAGTAAGGATTAGACGATCTGGCGTAGTAACCGCCTTATCTACAAGTGAACATCTTTTAGAATGAGCTTCGAGACGCATTGAATCGTCTGCGCAAAAAGACGAGTGAATCGCACACGACAATCAACAAGCATGAGACCAGATATAAGACGATTGAGGACAATTTGAACGACATTGAAGAAGGTAAGGGAGCTGTTAACTCATATTCATGTAACATGTCGCAACGCCAATCAATTTGCCTATTTGAGTTTGCGCTATGAGCAATCACAGGTGAACCGGTTGCTCCTCCATTAGTGGTACACTTCTTTTGGGTAACTGTGCCACTTCAGTACGTGTCGGTCGTTGTGAAGTTAAGTCACTGAAGAAATTCTTGTAGATAAGCGAGCTTTGGAAGCCCGATTGGCGTCTGCAAAGCAGCTTCTTCGCTCCCAGGAAGAAGCGCTCAAACAGCGCGATGAGGAGCGTCGACAGATGAAGTCGAAAATGGTGGCCGCCGAGTTGCAAGCTCGAGGCAAAGAGGCTCAACTCAGACACCTCAACGTGAGTATAAACTTGTTTCGTTTTGCCCTTTCATTATGTGTTGACTTTTCGACGAAGAAACCCACTCGTTTAGGAACAACTCAAGAATCTGCGTACTGATCTGGAAAATGCTCATGCCGACATTCGTGCACTGCGAGACAGGGAGGAGAGCTGGGATGCAAGTCGATTCCAGCTGGAGAGCAAGATGAGAGAACAAGATAGTCACACTCAAAAATTGCAAATGCAGATTTCTTCGTTCGAAAGCGAAAGACAGGTCGGTAAAAGTTCCTTTCAAGACGCTCACTCCTCAACAAAGCAGCTATTTTTAGAGTCTCATGGAGAAGGTCAAAGAACTCGACGGCGCACTTCGTCTCAGCGAGACCAAGGTTCAGGATATGCGAGACGATGCCGAGAAGCTGAAGAGGGATCTGGCGAAAGCCGAATCGTATGAGATTGAATTGCGCAAACACACAGAGCTACAAAGCAAGTCTGGCAGTGAACTACAGATGTTGAAGGACCAACTGCTAAACGCCCAGAATGATCTGAGCTCAACAAATACACGTAAGACACAGCTCGAATCTGAACTTCTCAACCTACGCTCCGAATTACGTGATTACAAACAACGCGTACACGATGTCAACAGTCGAGCATCTGAGCTTCAACGTCAACTGCAAGATTCGAACTCGGAGAAGAATCGTTTAGAGGATAGAATACTGACTATGGAGAAGGTATTCCATGGGAATATTTATAGTTGATTCCTGATTTTCACAACCAATGAGTGAGTTTGCAGAATCTCAACCAACAACGCACTACTGAAAATGAACTGCGACAGCAACTGGACACTGCCAAGAATGATAAGAGAGCCGTGAGCAAGGTTTACCGGGAGTCGCCTCCAATTTTCATCCAATTTTTTGATCCTTCTGTAACAGATCATAGTCGTTGTTAAATCATCTGTTGTAGGAACTCGAGGAGTTGAAACGTCTCGTCGCACAGCTTGAGAACGACAGACGTGCTAACTCTCAGCTTCTGGAGAATTGGAAGAAAGACAAATTCATGCTTCAAAAGAAAATTGAGATGGTGAGCTGAGCGAAATGTGAAGTGCAAGTTCAATGTACGATTCAAATGTTTCCAGCTCGAAACCGAAAAGAGAAGAACGGAGGCGGCGATTCGTGAGACGGCATTGCAGCGGGAGGCTATTGAGAAATCTCTCAACGCTATGGAACGTGAAAACAAAGAACTCTACAAAAACTGCGCCCAACTGCAACAACAGGTAAAAGTTCAACTACAAAGAAAGCACCAGGAAAGGTTTTCGAACATGGACTACCAGTGAGGGAAACATTCAACTTCTAGATCGCACAACTTGAAATGGAAAACGGCAATCGTATCCTGGAACTAACTAATAAGCAACGACGAAGAACAAGAAAGACAGCTGCAAAGAATGCGCCAGGAGAAAGGCCAGGTAAAATGAGTTGTAAATCGTTGAATATCCTGCATCAACACTCTGTTGGCTTCTAAGATCGAGAAGGTCATCGAGAATCGCGAGCGAACTCACAGGAACCGCATCAAGCAGCTTGAAGACCAGATTGCCATCCTTCGTGACCAACTTGACGGAGAACGCAGAAGGCGCAGGTACGTTGTCATAGTAGATGTTGCCCCTCCTAGATACCTCTAGAATTCTTGGGCTTCAGAGATTTCGTTGACCGCTCATTGGTTAACGACATCGGACGCCTTGGTGGGCATGTGCTCGGAATCAGAAGCTATGGAGATAGTGGACTGGACAATATTCTACATGGTGGTAGCCGCTCAGTCGGGTGAGAACAATGTACCACGTAACACTGAGTCAAGAAAAACATCCGAAAGACAGTCGTACAGTAGTGTTTACTTTTCCTAGTTACGCGGTAACTGCGCGAATGCGTGGCGCATTCGCAGACTATAAACCGTAAACTTCTTATTCCAGATTCATACCACGTTCGACATTTGTATCAAACCCACTCACACCACCGCTTGGAACCTCAACGCCAACTCATAACAGAACTCTAGCCGACTATCGTGATTCGACAACCTCATACAGTCGCCGTGGCGCTGACGATACTGGTATGGAAGTGATAATCACGACTAAAAAACCATATACTGATCCAACACCGATCCCACTCGCTAAAGTCACACGCAAACACTCACCTAAAGAGTCCGCTTCGATTTTTATACCGAGTGCATAAGAAACAACAACAACCTCTTACAACATGATAACTGCTCAGCTTCACTTCCTCTCAGACTGCTAGTTGAATAGTGTTAGAGGCCTACGCTAGCTGCAACTTCTCCATTATGAAAACTGCAAACTACAACTTCTCACGGACTGTGTAGCTTAACCAATTAGTTTCTATTAATACAGGTTCGGTCTACGGCGGATCGGTACGCGATCGTGACTCGGTCTATGGTGGGGTTGGAAGTGGCGGTCGTGACAGTGTGTACGGCGGACGCGACAGTTCATTCGGACGCGATTCCGTTCGTGAAAAGGATCCTTCCGTCGTAGATATACCACTGAATCGTGGTACTAGTGGTGGTGCTGGTGGTGACAGTTCCATGCCATCATCGTTGCACTCATCCATGCATGGTTCTAGATATGATACCCTAGCACCTAACCGAGATGATCTGTAAATGCGACATACTCCATATGCATCTGCCCAGAGCAATTATTGCTAACACTCACAGATGTATAACAAACCACATACTCACTCCCACTCTCGCAGCTAGCTATCCTAATGCTTCTGCTTTGTGAATCTTTCACAGTAACCACATACTGCTTACTTCTACCGTATTGATTTATCGTTTTACTAGTTATTTGTTTTGTATTTTTTATGCACTTCTGTAACATCAACCATCAACGACACATTACTAATCGCAAACACTGTCATCTACTATGGGCAAAGCAAAACTGCATTACATTTTTTGTTCGTTAACGTATTGTGCTTGCTATGCATAGGAATCAGAAGCCTATTTAGTTCTTTTTGTGTATTTCTTGCAATCTGTAATAAAGCTGTGAAATGTCTGTCATTGCTCTCGTCAATTTACGGTATTTCACAGTCAGACACTTCATCAAAGTCAGCGCTTCATCCTGGAGGTTTGAACTTAAAGGAAGCCTTCATGGAAAAATCATGATTCCATTTCAGCCATAAATCACCGGCTTGAGACTCATTTTCCATGATAAGAATGAAAGGATAGAAAAATAGCATTTGTTCTGGTAAAAAATTCGAAGAACCGAAAGGGCTGCTACGCGTTCAAAGTGGCCACGGACGTATTTCACAAATGCTAGCGACGGGAATGTTTCCCCATGGTTATTGGAAAACGTTTGGTAGAAACTCTTTCTGGCTTACTGTTTTATTGCATTCGCATCTCTCACTTCTACTTCATCCTACTCTATCGATCGATTTGTCTCTACTCTCCGAAATCGCGCGCTTTAACCCGATCCGTTCATTGCGTCGCCAGATACGTAGCCGGCCGAAGGTCAACTTCTTTCCATGCTTCGCCTTTGGCTCCGCCCGTATACCTTCGATTGTCCATAGTGTGTAGTTTTTGTATGTTGGTTCTCTTCGGAAACCAAATTTTCATGCGTTAAATTTTGTGCAATGATCGCACGACTAACACATTCATGTCAGAAAGAATGAAGAACTTCCCGCGAAAGATTCCTTTGAGCTAGTGCATAGATAACCCCGGAGAGAACAGACCTAAGTAACCTATTCTTTAGACCATGACACTCTAGACAAAATAACAAAGACAAAGAACTATCCGCGAAAGATTCCTTTGAGCAGTGCATAATAACCCCGGAGAGAACAGACCTAAGACTAACTATTCTTTAGACCAGGACACTCTAGACAAAAAATAACAAAGACAATTTAATAGATTTCAAATGGGGAGGGATATCTTCATTGCCTGTATCAAAAAACCAGCACTATTAGGGTTACGTGTTTCATTCACAATAACTACGTGACTAGCACAGAAGTGCCCGTGTGCACGTAGTCGAATTTCGTCATCCTTCCCCTTCTCAAAATGCCGAAGTGGCCGTAAATGACCCAAAAAAAGTAAATGCTAGACACGGACGGAGGACGCGCCGACTTATTTCGGGAGAGCTCTAGAGGGCGGGGATGTGCCAGCTAGTGTGCCAAGTTGGTGTGCCACAAATTGGAAATTTCGATTTTGGCAGTAAGAACAGCCACCAGACAAGTAAGTATCAACCGCCCAGACCAAATAATAGATTAAAGGACGAATTCACGCTGGAAAGGCAATCCATCTCAAATTTACTTAGCGATGGTGAGTGCTACACTAGAGAAGGAAAAGCCATGAGAAATGGCCCAAAACCCGAGAAATGGGACCCCTTCCTTGCCCGATGATTTGAGCATTGATGCGACTCTCATCGCTCTGCCCTCTTCTACACTACGCTCTCTCACCTATCCGACCACTTGCCACGTATAGACCTGCGGCGAGTGATTAGATAGCCGGTGGGCGTGTACTGGCCCACCGCGCCAAGATCGAGCCTTAATAGGTCGCCGAGGTCAACTCCTTCGGTGCCAATTGCGCTTCAGTCCGCACCCTTAGGAGGTCCGCGGGTTGCTCAGCTAGGTGAATTCCTCGTTTTTCGACCTCATTCTAATCATGAATTCGTCCTTTAATCCAACTACGCCGATACAGCGATGTCTACAGTTCAGTTGAGGCTTACTGTTCAAGACCACATGTCGTAGAAGAACCCCATTGTCCGGCATTCTTTTAGGGTCTGAATTGGCGGCAACGCCAAAATATGAGTCAAGAAAATGCCATTGTTAGGTTGGCTGCAATTTACTGCAGCTGTTCACAAAAAATCCGAACACATTCTCTAATAACTTCCAAGCGCACATATTATTCGATATGAAACTGGCTAGCCCGCTCAACTACCAGCTGACCTTCTGAAATGGATTCACAATACTTTCCCAACCACGGATGACGCGCACCGAGTCAAACTGATAAGGTGAAGGAAGAGAGGCTGAAGATGACTACGTATTGCGTTCAAAAAACCTACTGTGAAATCGATAGCGGCGCAACAAATAACGCAGCATTTCGGGGCAATATATTGATTTCAAAAAAGCTGGGAGTTATAGAGGTTCTATAGAGAAAATTGCTTTCATATCACGATACCAAGGTTATGTTTACTGGGACATAGTGAACGTTTTTCGATATAACCTCTGATTCACGAGAAGGCGTTCCTTAACATTTGAAGCCATGCTTATTTTGAGACGAGGCCATTCCTGAGACGTTTCCGTGGCAGTCAAACAGCGCTCCCGAAAAAAAAAGTGGCTGCAAAATGACACAAAGTGCAAATATCGTATTCAACCGCAGCGTCTTACTTTCGTTACTAATGGAAACTTCAACTGAAGGAGAGAAAAGGGAAATAACATGATTCCATCATGTAAGCTTCAAAGAGTGCGATTTGATCATGTGAACATGAAGCGATCTTCCTAGATGAAACTCCCTAGGATGTACATTCGAAGGAAAACAGTCATGTTTCTCGTTCACGGAAACGTCTGAACTTCATAGCAATAAAAACGTAAAGCGATGAATAAAATCACGGTAAACAAAAAAAATTACCAAATGACTGCATATGATACCATACATATAACACGACTGTTTTTGCTGCCGAATCAGCTTCTATACTTATTAGGTCGCAACGAAAGTAATTGCTGATTCACGCGCCTCGATTTCCCAATCGTATCTTTCTTTGAGTTGAACTTTATTCGCTAAATAATAATTCTCCACAAGCACTTACACCAGTCCGCATCGGTTCGACAAGGAAGGCAAATGCCTCTCCTTCTAAATTCGCAGGCTTTCGAGTCGCAGAAGTGCTCCCATGTTCCGCTTCAACTATCTGAAAGTTGCTCGTAGCTTTTTCTCGCTTGAAAGTGAGCACGGAACAAGAGTGGTGGTAATCCGGAGCGCACACCGGCCTGGCGATATGGAGGATGCGGGTAAAAACCGCAGATCCAAAGTTTCCGCCCACATGTGTCCTGGGTTACCCTTGCAACATGGGGTCGACGCGTTGTCATGAAAGAAGAAAAACGTTCGGTCCATCTCAGGGGCGAAGTTCGCCGACTTCAACGCGAGCCTTCGTGGTTGTGAGCAGCTACACTGCGGCTCGACCGATGGTATTGTCTGCATCCATCCGTAATGAAGTGTTCGCCCGAACTCTCCCACCAAACTGACACGAGGAACTTTCTTGGATGCAACCTCCGTTTTGGCAAGAGCTCTGGCTTCTGGTTCGCAACCCATTCACTGTCTTCTGCCTGGTATGACATATGGTAGACAGCCCGCCACCTTTCATCTCGCAGTTAATGTACCTTAGTCCACACCAGGTCGAAACCGCGCGACTCCTTGCGAAGAAAACCTCCGCCACACCCGATACCTCTTTTTTCGCAATTGCCTCGTCAGCTCATGCGGGCCAATCGACCAAGTTATCTCACTTTGTTCCCAGCATGTGATGAACACGACCTGTGGCCATGTTGAAGCAGTTGCATCTCCTTTGCCAGCTCCATGGCGCTGCCCTGCGATAGTCTTGAAGTAACAGCTCCAAACGTTTCGCCCATAACTTCTCGTTGGGCGTCCATCTTCGAGGTGTAGTTTCCCTTCGCGGGGGACCTTTTGAACCAAAGTGGCAGGTTTTTGTCATCTACTAACTGCCCCCTAACTCCACAGAGGCATCATTTTGCGCAGGCTCGCTCGCTGTGTGTCCCCATGCAAATTCGCAGCAGTAGTGGCGTAACATGGGTAGAAACTTATGGCATTCGCAGCTCCAACAAGGCCTGCATGAGGAAGCTCGGTAATATGAAGGGATGTTACCCCATTCCGTTCATACGGTTTAATAAATTTCCCCTCCAGTTAATGCCGTCCCGTTTGTCAGGATTTGAAGAAATCGCCATTTACTTTCGTTGCGACTAATATATTAACTCTACTCTACTTATATTAATTCAGGTCTTAAAGTATAACTTCAGAGAAAAAACTTCGCAAGTGCCGAATGTTACGGACCATCACCCTCTCGTTTTTATCTCGAACAACTTTCCTGACGATCATAGCTTCGAGCAACCGCACAACTGACTCTTAGTTTAAGTCCAAAACCTCCAACATCAATCAGATGAGGTCGTGTAGAATCTGTTCCGCAGGTGGGATAGAGAGGCCCACGAGTACAACAGAATTCAAAACTGCGCGGCAACGGCGCTAGGGGCAAAATGAGCTTGTGGCGTCTAATGACTTACGGACGAGATTCCCCGTGCACACCCCATAATGCGAACGTGGATTACGACGTAGTGGCCAATTCAAATACGCAGAGCTTAGAGGAGCCACGGAGCAAGCAAGTTCGAACAACTCGTCCGGCCCCGCTCCTTCCTTACTTCAGGGGGAAAGAAAGGGAACTTGTTAGGAACTTGTTATTGGCTTCATCAGTGGTTAGCTTCGGTTCTTTCTTCATATTCAGTCAGTTCGGCATCCACAATCTGACCATCGACCGCTGTTACTCCAACAATTCGATCTGGGATGTTGCTTTGAACGCGTCCCCAAGCTCAGGAAACATACTTGTATACGGTGGTGTAAGCTGGTATATGCAAGCGAGACCATCGATTAGCATCCTAACCGCACATTTTGGGTCACGAAGCTGGACTTCTGTAGCATTGGACTCTGCAAGTTCACTCATGGTATTCACTCATGTCGCACTACCAACTAGTGAGCCTGATCCCCGAGTTTGCCTTTAATACATAATACCTTTGACTCGCCTATCGTCGGAATGGCAGAAGAGAAAGCTAATTAGTATCGAAAAGACTAGGATGGAGAGTAAGAAAGGAAAAAAGTCTAACGAAGAGGCTACCTTGAGAAGAACTCACGATACCGATAACAAGATGACAATCCGAATTTGATCCATCCATGCATGCATACTACTGTGCAAGATGCGACGAAAAAACCTTTTCCTGAAGCACAACTTTCGGTGATTTACTTGATTTTCGAAACCGAAAAAATTCACTATGCGCTGCCGAAATCGCAGAGAGAGACAGGGTGTGTGTGACGTGATGTTCACATTAAATTACGATGAAAATGCAGCCCGTTGGAACTCTTTGTAGAGGTGATCAGGGATGGTGCAGGGGTAAAGAAAAACCATGAGAAACGGCCCAGCCCCAAGAAATGGGGCTCTTCCTCTACACTGATGTGACTCTTGAGGTGCTGCTCTCCGCTAACTCCTCTGCTAGAGGGCTAGAGTAAGACGGTGAAGTGGGGGTCCAGCGGCGCGAACCATGACTATCGTTTCCTAGGCCGCTGGAGGAGCACTCTTCGGCGCATCGTTTCTCACCCTTGAGGAGCCCGCCACCTTCTGTCTGAAATATTTCTCCTTATTCGACCTCCGACCGTATCGTGGAATCCAGTCTCGGAGCAACAGCCCGGGGAAACTAAATATGTGGATCAACCTATCGCGTGAGCGATAGAGCTGCCCACGAAGATCAAAAGCGCTGGGGCCCTGTGGAGTAAACAAATCTGAGCAAATGAACGAGATCCCCTGCAATGACCCTTCAGCACGCAACATGGTATAATGTAGTGTTATCCACGTAGTAATCGACACGGTTAGTAATAATTCTCAGTCTTGCAGAATCAGCTACCTAGAGCGCAGTGATAGCTGCGCAAACTGCTAGCATGGAGCTCGCAAGTCCAGAAAACTCGTCCGGACACGACCTCTCCTCATCCTCCGCCGGCGGAAGAGATAGAGTATTACGGGATTCCTCGGTGATTACTTTTGCTGTTTTTCCTTTTCCAACCAGCTCTGCACCGACCACCTCCTTCATTATCGAGCGCTGTGACCCACCAATTGATCCTGGTTAATATTTTGAGCTTTTTGGCGCCACATGATCCTGGCTGTTGCTTTAACACGTTCACGACCGCCGTTGTGCGCGTACTGCTTCAACATTTTTCGTATTCTTTTATCAATAGGCATCAATGCTTTAGCGTTTTCATTATCAGTAACTCAGAAAGTTTTTCGGATTCAACAACGTACATGGACCGTTGTGGAACAGGAGAAAACACCAAATAAACTGAGGATAACTAGCCTGCCCCAATCGCAAGTTTGGTATAACATCATACAACACGGTCGTCAACGTGTTAAACTCCAGCATAAGCCTTGTCAAAGCGAGTACTATTGAGTTAAGACACAATTTCCTAAAATTTTTATTTTGACATCCATATTGTCACATTTTTTGTTGTTCCTGATACCATAAGATTTAGAAGCGGTGAAATTTTTGTTGAATAACTGAAGTGAAATTCCTTTTACATGGATTTGACAAGAAAATGAAGTCATTGAACTCAGTCACTTTTCAAGCGAACAAAGGTGGGTCGCTCACAGTTCTCTACCAAGGATGAAAAAATTGGAAGCAGGTCATGAGGATCTAAGGAGATAAATGTGGGGAAAATTCATTGATTATAAGGGTATGTAGAGCCATGAAGTTGTCGGAAAAAGCCAGAGGTGGTCGATGGATGGCACTATAGGAGATCACTACGATAAACTACGTTACAGTTTTTGTTGTTGCGTCAATGATATGTCAAAATGTTTAAACACCTATTAATTTTGCATCAATTATGCATCCAATATACGTATGCTAACCAGCCTTACACGGATCCCTTTCCTTGTCAGCGTTTCTGGTTTCCCTCTGCGGTTTAAAAATCATTCAAAAGTCTTCCGTGCGCCTGTAGAAATCGAATTTCTCCGAAGAATGCATTATCGAATAGGAAAAAACACAGCCATCCAAACAAAAATTGCCCGTTTTGTACGCTACCGTTCCTCCCAGGTAAAGATTGAAATAGTAAGTGAAATAAGTGGCAAGCGGCGTCGGTTACCAAGCACGAAATTTGCGGACAAATTACAGATGAAATACATGTCGCATGGGATAAGCAAGACTTCCACCAGGATTGTCTTTCGGGTCGTGCCCTGCTTTTTGAGGACGGTTTTTTGCATGGTGGGCGCTTATGCATGGAATAAGGAATCATGGTTTATGAGCGGCTCTATGGATGCCAAAAAAGGGCTGAAGAAGCTCATGTACCACACCTTTTTACCCTCGGTTTTTGGCAAAAACCTACTCATATGGCTTACTGATGCTCCCGTTGGTAATATAGCACTCATTACAAGCCGTGGACACCATTTTGTGACATCATGCAAGCGTCAATCGAGAATGCAGAAATTGTCACCATAGAGAATCGAAATGAACAAAACTTTCGTCCCTTTTTGTCCCGTAAAGAGGCACTCAGGAAAAATGGAACAGTTTTATTTCCATTCCAATCGTGACCCTACAAATTTAAAATCCGTTTTAAAAAAAGCTGGCACGACCTGAAACACCTTCCTGGTAATGTGATTTAGTATCCACTCACTCTGAAAGTATAAAAAACAACGACATTTACATCGGCTCGCCTGAGAAGCCACTGTAGTGGCCAAATCGTGCACCAATGCCACCTCTACGCTGAATGTAAGTTCCCTTTATGTATTGGGCTGATCCTAAAATTTATATCCGAATTTCGACACTTTCATTTGATTCAGTTTTTTCTTTTCTGGAGAATAACTGATCAACAATATAACCACCGTCGCAATCGCTGACATGCGTTCCTTTGCAAGGCAGCGAATGGATGCATTCCTCTCAAAACGAGTGGAGCTATGGGTTGAAGAGTTCGGAGAGGTCGTTTTTTGGGTGGTTGTTTTCAATGACCCCTTTCTCTCGAAGGTACTGCTTCAGGGCATCGAGAAGCGAATAGTGCGATGAAGTAATGTTAGGACTATACGATAGATGTTGCATCGCGATCCAGCCAGTTTCCTCAGAAGGTGGCGAGTTATCTTCGCAATGTAAGGTCGGGCGTTCATCCCAAGGAAGGAGATTTTGATGTTTCGACTGGTTCTCTCGCACTGCTGCGGCCAACCTCGGGAGTTATTCCATGGTTACCTTCGCAGTGGTTGTCTATATAAGTTGAAGCGGTTCTCAAAGTGGGATACCCGACCAGTCCAACAAATGAGGGTAAAATTCTCTGATGAAAGAGGTCGGGTTTTGGCTGAGATGGTGGGTTCATGCTACGAGATAGCCATAAGGTGTGCCGCGTGTTTTGTCGTAGCGGACTCATGACCAGAGTCGACCCTGCGTTGCGCAGTTCGCAACGTCACGTTGAGAGGTCCTCAACGCACGCTGTATGGGCGGAGACGCAGACGGCTCGAGCATGCGAATGTGAATGTTCGCGCGAGAGAACGTGTCTAATCGGGCGAAACTGGGCAACGTGGCCGTTGAGAACTGCGCAACGCAGGGTTGACTCTGCTCATGACTCATCTCCACTGGTGACCGACTAGGGAAAGTCCAGGCTATGCCTGCGCAGAATGAAATTTCTGCAGATGGTCAGTTCTGCTTTTCGGTCATGGTCAGAGATGCATGCCCTTCCCATCAAAAATTCATTCTGCTACAGCCCGTTTCATTCAGCCAGCTCGCGGTGCTGCACCGGCTGTGCACAGGTATGTGCTACAAATCTCAGGTGGTAGCGTCCGGGTGAACTTCCGATTCACTAGCGCAATGGACTCATCAAATGTGACTGGGGTCTTAAGATGAGGTCAAACTTTGCAGCTTGTATCGCCTTTGCCGATGCTTTCAAGCCAATAGCCCAGTGCCCGATCAGTGGCAAAGACTGATGCAAACACAGCGCTGGCCTTGCTTACTGCACTCTTTGCGAGGTTCTCCTTTAAATGTGCATAATCGCCTGCTTTGGTCGTTGATCCATTTCGATCCCTACTTACTTATCCACTGCCCAATGACGTTCTGGATTACCCTAGTTTGAGGTACTGATGCCTCCTTCAACATACTAACTTATTTCATAATGACACTAATCTGTCACGAAGAAAATTTATTCTCAAAAAATTCGGCCAGGAATTATGGATCAACCCAATACATCATATCCTCACCGCGGTTTGCGCGACCCTTCCTCAACCTTTCCTTCG